ATAATGAACAGAATAATGAATACAACAATGAATTATTCAATATAATTGTTTTCCTTGTATATTCTTAAAGTTGTTCAAAATTCATTTTCCTGATATATTTCCAATAAGTTTTTAGGTAAAGTATTCCATAAAAACATAAATCTATGTAAAGCTGACATCTTCATGGAATTAGTGTGAACTTTTGGAAGGATAAATTTACTTTCAATAGCATGTCTAGTTTGATAATCATGTGCATTAACGTTAAAAGTCAATTGAAAGTATAAAATCTTTGGCTGTTTTGAACTAATAATATTTTTTATTTATAATATCATTTTAAACATAATATAATTTTAAACATAAACTTTTAACTTCAACCCTTAACCAGGATAATCTAATATGCATCATGCTGACATTAGTTCTGAAATCACAGCTAAGTGACAGCCTAGCAGCCTTATTTTGAATTATTTGTAATTTCTGAATCATACCTCCTGAAGCTCCAGACCACACTGACGAACAATAATCTAGCTGAGATAAAACAAGAGATTTAATCAAATTTATAACTACATTACCTGCCAAAAATCGTGAAAATCTTTTTATCACAGCCAAACTCCTACCCATTTTACTCACCACATTATCAATATACTTTTTTCCATGATAAATCCCTTTCTACCACCACACCTGATAACTTAACTTCTTTTACTTGATCTATAACTATCTTTAATTACCAGATTTAACTCTGGATTTTCCCTTAGTCAAAATTTATAGTAGATCCTAATTTTATCGATTCTGTTTTCTTTACATTTAAAATAATTTTGTTATTGGTTACCCAATCAGAAACTGCCTGCATCTCCTCACTTAATATCTTTGAGAGTTTATCACAACTTGAATCATATGACTCTGAAAGCTGCAGTAATTACTTTATGAGAGTTTAATTAAAATCCACCCAGTGGTTCCAGTGGCAGATAATGTTAAAGTTTGATTAACTGATTTTTTTATTTTCCTCTTTAGTTTGGTAACTTCAATTCATCTTGCCAAGTGTTGAAAGGCAGGCTCAGACAAAGAAGCACGGAGAATAAAAAGACAGATTTTTCTTCTATTTAGCACCACCTTAAATCTATTATCTTGCAACACAAGATAAATGAGACAGGCGGTGTAAACAGATAATAAATATTTGCTTTATCTCTGTGACAGAGCTGGATTTTTTTTCTCTTTTGCTTTGTCTGCACAAAGGTGAATGAAAAGTGCTGAGTCACTGTGAGAATTCAAAAACCCAAGTTTCAGGCTGGTCCACCCTGGCAACAGACAAACAAGAAGCTGCTCCCAGTTGGAATGAAGACAACATACCAACAATGAGTTTGCAAGTTTTAGTTCGCATGTTGCACTTTTTTTCCCAAATACTTTGTACAGTTCCTTGACGCTATTATATCTTTTCCACAATTCGAGGTTTTGCCTTAAGTATACACAGGGGCTGATTGAATTGTAATTTGTGCAAACGCATGACTTTGTGAATGCAAGATTAATGTCTGCCTTTCCCCCACATTTGCCCTGGAAAAAGTTGCACCCCTCCAAACATGGCTCCTTGGACACAACGCTTGAAAGTTTAGTTTGAATTTTAACACTTTTTAAACTAAGTACATAAAATGAACTTGCAGTGTTATATGTTGCTTATGGTGAACAACAAGAGCAGTTGGACCAGTTTAGAGGGTGTGTGAGCTACCTCAACAGCCTCACTTGTGATGATGACAAACTTGTGGGTTGGGACTTTGTTCCACCAATCTGCGGAGAGTTTGCAGCGGGTTATAAAAAGGGGGGAATGAACTCTTCCAGACTCACTCCTCTCTCTCTCTCTCTCTCTCTCTCTCTGTCTCTCCCTCCACCTTTCCTGACTCCTGCAGCTTGGCACAACTCGCTCTCTCTGAAAACATGGCCAAGGACATGACTCTGTTCTGGGGCTCCGGCTCTCCCCCCTGCTGGAGGGTGATGATCGCTCTGGAGGAGAAGAACCTGCAGGGCTACAACAGCAAACTGCTGTCCTTTGAGAAAGGCGAGCACAAGTCAAAGGAAGTCATGGAGGTCAACCCGAGGGGTCAGGTAGGGTCGTTTTCTTCTTTGTCAATCCAAAAAACACTCGAAGCAGTTTTTTTCCCAAAGCTGCATCAGCTACAAAACATCTAACAAGTAACTTTTATCCTGTCTGTTAAAGCTTCCTGCCTTCAAAGATGGAAAAGTTATCATCAATGAGTCCTATGGGATTTGCATGTACCTGGAGGTGAGAACTTCACCTTTTAGTGTAGCCATATGTCACCCAGAATAAAAGATGGGAGGGCTGCACTTGGCTCCTCGTTCGATTGCAGACAAAAAGAAACCCTACACCGCTGAGGGAAACCTGAGCTCCACATAATTGTTGCTATTTTTTTTCCATGTCTCCAACAGGACAAGTATAAAAACCAGGGAAACAAGCTGATCCCTGAATGTCCAGATGAGAGGGCAATGATGTACCAGCGCATGTTTGAGGGCCTCACACTCTTCCAGAAACTGGGTATTTCATCCCTTACATACAAAAAAAAAAATCTAAGATAAACTTTAAGCCTGTCTGAGTGATGAATCGGCTGTGTAAGACGTGCCACCTGAGGTCGGCCTTTTGGGACTCTGTCCTGCGCTGCACTTGGCAACATCAAACACCAACCTGCCACCTCAAAGCCACCGAGACTTCATGTTTTCACCCAACCCCACGGGACCTAAACGCCACACACCGTGTTCGAGCTAATGAGCTGCGCCGTTGCATAATCAGGCTGTGACAATGTTTAAATTCCTCGGGGGTGTTCAAGTGCAACCCCCACCACTCTACGGGAATGTTGGCAGGTCTCGAGTTAATCCCCGCAATAGATCACATGCTTCGACAATTGCATGCAAAGTTGCAGTCATGAGATCTGCCCTTTACTGCCCCAAAGCCTTCTTTGAACTTTGAATTCGAGCCCCTTTTACTGGCCTCTGTTCAAACTGATGCAAACCGTCCAGGACTGAGTCCGCCCTCAGCAGCTGAAGGGAAATGAGAGTAATTAGCACATGTCAATGTTTGTCATTCCAGGGAGGGGCTTTAACATCAGTGCTTGTTTGTTTGTTTGTTTGTTTCCCAGCACAATCACTCTTCTACACACGCTATGTTCCGGAGAACGAGCGACACGACTCTGCCCTGGAGAGGAACACAAAGGAACTGAAAGATGAGATCGGGCGATGGGAGGGATACCTGAAGGTAGGGGAGGAACCTAAACCAGGGGCTGGGATCTGATGGATTTGAAGCATTTTACTTTAGTTTTTTGTCTTTAAACAAAGTTCTGTTTGTTTTTGCCTTGATGCAATTGAATTATTAATCAATAAATTGATATATATCGACGTGCATCGGTGTATTCAATAGCCTACCAAATTAATTTAAAACACCTGTAAACCTACTACTTGTGGTTTTCAGTGGACTATTTGTTTGGAGATTATTGCCTCTATAAAACAATATGCATCATGTTGACAGCTGAACCTTTGTGGTTGAGATTTGTGAGCTTTGCTAATGATGTTTAGTCAGTTTTGTTATCTTTGACAGATTTGTCTCCTACTTTCAGTGTTTTTGTTGGGATGATTTATTGGCATTGAAGGAAAGCTCATTCTTCACAAGGCCGTTAAGAAAAAAACGTGTAAAATTGTTTAGTTACTGAGACATTTTTAATTAATCTAAAGAAAAATTAAACTGTAAATCGCTCATTACCTCTTTTTCAAATGTGATGTCTAGATTTTTTTTCTGCTTTACTAATAAATATTAATCTTTAATTTCCTTAGGGTAATTTCCTTGCTGGAGAGCACTTTACAATGGCTGATGTGATTGTTTACCCAGTCATCGCTTTCCTCTTCCGCTTTGGGTAAGTGCTTAAAAAACTGCAAATTTCTAAAAGAGGAGAAAATGCAAGAATAAGACAAGTTTTTCTTTTTGTAGATTATGTGAGGAGAAATATCCTAAACTGGCCGCTTACAATAACACTCTGAAGGAAAGACCCAGCATCAAAGCTTCCTGGCCCCCTACCTGGAAGGAGGGACCAGGAATGGACACTCTGAAGAACCTCTGAGCGCCTTCTGTCCACCATGTCCTCATTTGTAACTACTCCTGATGTAGAAGCTAAAGCATCGGCTTTTTCTGCATGAGGCCACTTTTCAAATATTTGTTTGTAATTTACTCTACAGAAAATGTTTTGTGCTGTGAACAAAATATTATTAAATAAGGTTTAATGCCATGTTTGTCTGCTGTCTAATTTCAAACTTCCTTTCATTGGTCCTTTGAGTTGTAGATATACACCTCTGGAAAAAAAAACAAGAGAACACTTTAAAATTATCAGTTTCTATGATTTTGTTCTTTATAGGTATGTTTGAGTAAAATAAACATTATTTTATTCAATGAACTACTGACATGTTTCCAAAATTCCAAGCAAAAATAGAGTATTTATTTGCAGAAAATAAAAAATGGTACAAATGTTGACAAAGATGCAGTGCTTTCAGATAAGTTCATATTCAGTTAGAAACAACAATATGTTATAATGCAAACACTTCAGAAGTCAATATTTAAAGGAATGCATTTAACCAAATAAAAGAAAACTATGCAGTGGTCTCTTAATTTACTCCAGAGCTGTACATGTACAGCGGGTAAAATAAATATTGAACACGTCACCATTTTTCTCAGTAAATATATTACTAGAGGTGCTAATGACATGAAATTTTCACCAGATGTCGGTAACAACCCAAG